ACGAATATATGGCTTGTTGACTCAAGTATCCTTTGAAGTAAATGAGCGAATTGCACCTGATTGTGAAGATGCGTCACTATTAAGTGCAAGTGGTCCGAGCAGCAAGTCTAACGAGTCCATGGAGGTTTTGAAGGAAAATTTGGAGACTAGGGAAATTACCAAAGCATGTTCTAGTGTTACACCATCTCGCGATGCCATCATATCAAGTGACAGTGATAGTGATAATGACACAATTGGTACGTCCACTCCTTTACATGAAGCAGCAAAGTGCGGGGACTCTGAAAAGGTTTTGGAACTTCTAGAACAGGGTATGGATCCTTGCCTCAAAGACGAGAGAGGGAGAACTCCGTATGTGCTTGCAACTGAAAAAGAAGTGAGAAACACATTTAGGCGCTTCATGGCATCAAACGTTGACAAATGGGATTGGCATGCTGCTAAGGTGCCTAGCGCATTGACTAAAGAAATGGAGGAAACACAAGCTGCTAAACAGGTAACTTCTTCATTATTTTAGGGGGTGACAAATGGCCGGTGTAATTTTCTGCCCCGGTTCCTATATTTAAGGATGTTAACATAATATTCTTGAAGAGGATCCTATATTTAGGACATAGGACTATATAGGAAATTGATTTAGACGTCGTCGTTATTACTTTTGTTGCTTCTGCAGACGCTCTATCTGATGTTTTCCGATCTCTGAGTCAGGATTGGGGGATTTGAATTAGAAAGTTCAAGCGATTATTATCTCTTTCAGAAATGTTTGTGAAGATTGTAAGACTGTTTCTCTCATTTAGGAAGTGTAAAACAGTGTCATTAGGCGTGTATCAAAAACGGATTAATACACTTTATTTGAACGCTCTATAATATTGGTCACTTTCTCTTCTTAATATGTCAAGGAAGTCAGAAAATGTGATGAGCTTCTCCATCATTTAAAAAGTATTGTATGAGGCACATTGCAAATATAGATGAATTGAAGTGTACTTGATTGTTCCTAATGACACTGTTTTGCAAATAATCTGTTTTTGAATAAGCCAATCAGTGAAAATATGTTTTATGCTGCATTGTGGCTATCTAATATGTACAATTGTATTTCTCTCTCCCCAGGCAGAGAAAGATGCTAAGAAGAAAGCTAGGGCAAAGGAGTTGAAGAAATTGCGGAAAGCAAAGCAAAAAAAGGCTCAGGTGATGTATAATTTATTTTCCTAGTAGTTTATGAATCCGAACAATTTTCCGCATCCTGTCTTAGTGCTATCTTGCAAAAATAATTGTTGGTTCATCTTCTTGCTTTAGTCGGATTGCATGGCATGAATTAAGAAGCAAAGTTCTAGAGTTGTTTTTTTCGGTTGTCAAGAAATTCTCTTCAACGTTCATCAAATGTGTCTTTTCCTTCTTTTTTGTTCTCACTCTGATGAGGAAAAAAAAGAGTAACGGTAAGCAGCCTAGAAGTCTCTCATTTGCCTCTTAAGCACCCACACACGGGCTAATTTGTTTATTCCTATTATCTCTCTCTATCTTGCAGCATTCTGACAATAGTTTTGCAGGCTGAGGCTGCTCAAGTCCAAACTGCTCCATCTGAATCTGGGAGAGGAATGCTTGCTGCTTCAGCTCTTAAAGGACATTCTCATTCTAGTCTTTCAGCAAAAATATCAAAAGAGGTCATAGAACATATTTCTGCCGTATTCTTGTTATGCGCTTATAACTGCTCGAATGGGAATTGGTCTCTGATATGTTTTCTTTATTGTTTTGCCAATCAGGAGGAAGTAAGGAGAGCTCAAGATGCTGAAAGGGAAAAAAGAGCAGCTGCAGCTGAGAGAAGATTAGCTGCTGCGGCAGCCCTCAAAGCTCAAGGCACCGGCTCAGTTTCTGCTCCAAGTGGCTCGGCAACTGACATTCTATGTTCTTGCTGTAACGGGTCATTGGCTGGCAAGGTTCCCTTTCACAGATATAATTACAAGTATTGCAGCACCGCATGCATGCACGTGCACAAAGAGATCCTTGAGGATGGATAAGGGAAATTTCTATGTTGAACTTCATAATTCGAGTTCCATCTATACCCTCCACTTTGCTTTCTAACCATATTACAGAGTGCAGGGGCCGGGGATGAGAGGATGGTCTTCTATTATGATCCTTCAGAAGAAACACACAGCAATCACCTCAGAGATAACAACTGCGACATCCCTGCTCTTATTATTACTATTATTTTCGGGATAGGTAGGGGTGGAGGTCCCTGATAGGAATGAGAAATGAAGGATTTTGTGAGGATTTTACACCTATAGAATGTAGAGGAGCTCTCATCACTGGGGTCACCACTCAATCTATCCCGATCACTTCAAGTACAAAATGTTTTTCGCAATATTACCAATTTTGTTTATTTGGTTTGTGTATGAATGATCCACGTCTTCCTTTTAGCGTTTCACTCCAATAGACATTAATTAGTGTACGTGTAAACGAGAACGATACTTCTATTGACTCTGCAATGAACTCTTTATAAATTGAGTTCTACTCTTTGCAACATGCAAGATCTGTGGTCTCAATGAAATACCGTGCTCGAGGATCTTAAGGATAGTACTAAAATAGAATACACTGTTCTAAAGCTAATTTATTTATTTCATTGAAAATTTCTTCCCCTGGGGCAGGGGGGG